CACACACACACACACACACACACACACACACACACACACACACACACACACACACACCCCCAACTCCCTAAGGGACATTTTGAACCAACATCAGTCAGTACCCTGCTACATGGGGCGATCCAGTAGCCAATGGCCAGGAATGGCAGCCCCAAGGCCACGACCAGCACCACCAAACACTTGATCGCGATGGCCTGTTCCCGTAGTCCCGAGAGGTTCTCGTACCAGATGGTCAAAAGCTGCTGCTGACAGTTGGGATGAGCCACAAACTGCACATAAACAGAAGGAAAGACGTGTTACAGAGTCAAGGTCAGAGTTAGACAAATATTGAATGCACACATGCACTAAGGGCCCAGAGACCCAACCACCTCCTCAGGACCTCAGGAGCCAGAAGCTTCTCATTAGAGTGGCCCATTTCTCTTACATGAATGAATCGCCTTCAGGGATCCACGATGCTACTCGTGTGGGCATGCCCTCCACCAGTGCAGATTTGGACCCTTCTAAGCCTCAGCATACAGCTTTGTGAGGGTTTACGACCCAAGGAGAATCATTACCTGGCAACCAGCCTCACTAGAAACAATGAGCCTCTCGGGATGTATTCTGGTCCTTGGCTAGCAGACCCACACGAAAGAATGCAGCTGAGCTTATATTCAAAGTCTTTTCTCTTTTTAGTATAACTCCTTCCCCCAACTCCATATGACTATAAGTAACCAACCACTGATGGACAAACCACTGATGTAGCGAATATAAGACCCACTTGTATTTATGTTTATTGATTTTTTTTTAAAAAAGTATTTGCCTTGGGAAAGGTTTATAGTCACAGACAGAGCTGGAAGGGATGTTAGAGGCCAACTAGGATGGCCTCCTCTCTTTACAGATGAGGAAACTGAGGTCCAGAGAGAGAGACCAAGTGACTTTTTAAATTTTTAGGCAATTGGGGTTAAGTGACTTGACCAGGTCACACAGTTAGTGTCAAATGTTTGGTCTAAGGCCAGATTTGAACTCAGGTCCTCCTGGTGCTTTATCTACTGTGCCACCTAGTTGCCCCCAAACTAATGTTTTTAAAAAGGAGAACGGATTCTGACTTGGCTAAGTAGTGATACTGCTTTAATCAAGACAGAATTAATGACATTGATTACCCTACATAATTTTCCAAATTATTTGACTATTTACAAATAGATAAAAATACCTGCCAATGGGTATATTTCCACTTATGTTCACTATGGTACTTTGAAGATGCTTACATTCAACAAAGATAAAAACATAATAACAGTAAGTCATTTTTATAGCATTCTCTCTAAAATTTGCTTAGTGCTTTAAGGTTTATAAAGAGCTTTACACACGTTAGCTCATTTGAGTCTTACAACAATTGTATGAGGTATGTGCTATTGGTCTTATCCCCATTTTTCAGATGAGAAGATTGAGAAGTTAAATAACTCATCCATGGTTACACAGCCAAGCGTCAGAGATAGGAGTCGAACTTGGATCACCTGCTTCTAAGACCTCCATCTGGTCCACTCACTGCACCATGCTGTGCCTTCTGCACACACAGGATCGAAGGCTTATAAGTGAGGGAGGATCTGGAATGAACACCACCAAAAGAATAACTGGAAATTGGCTATTTGCTCTCCTAGACTAAAGAGACATCAAAGCAGCTGGATGGTACAGTGGGCAGACCTGGAGTCAGGAAGACCTGAGTTCAAATCTAGCCTCAGAGGTTTCCTAGCTACGTGACTCTGGGCAAGTTATTTAGTTTGTCTGCCTCAGTTTCCTCGCATATAAAACAAAGATGAAAATAGCACCTACCTCCCAGGGTTGTTGTGAGGATCAAGTGAGATAACATTGTAAAATACTTTGCGAACCTTAAAGCACGATTAAGATGCTATTTTAAAAAATCATTATCTAATCCAAGGTTCCATTTTGTAGATGAACAAAGGACAACCAAGGCCACAGAGTAGAGTTCCAAGTTTGGCAGCCTCCTCCTTCTGGCTCCACTCCAAGGCATCACAAGGGCACTACTCTGGCTCCCTGCCCACTGCTGCCAGATGTGCTTCCAAGGGGGCAGGATGAGGTCTTTTAGTTTTTTTTTAACTTAATTTTTTTTTAGGCAATTGAGGTTAAGTGACTTGCCCAGGGTCACACAGCTAGTAAGTGTCAAGTGTTTGGTCTGAGGCCGGATTTGAACTCAGGTCCTCCTGACTTCAGGGCCGGTGCTTTCTCCGCTGCGCCACCTAGCTGCCCCAAGGTCTTTTGTTTTAACCTCACTCTGGTCTCTCTTCTTTCAATATCACCTAATTGTAAGAAGTCAGTGTTGTCTTTAAGAGCTAACTTCAAGTAATGGCTTTTCTGCTTTTAATCAGAAACAGTAGTAAATCAATCAGTCAACGAGCATTTATTAAATTCCAAGTGTATGCCAGAAACTGTTCTAAGTGCTAGGGATACAAAGACAAAAAACAGTCCCTGTTCTCTCAAAGAACCCAAAGGCTAATGAGAACAGTCCAATATCAATGGGGAACACGTCTGAAGAAAAAATATTTTAATGTGTTAAAGCCATCTCTACTTGGTGCTTCTGATTCCTCTACTCTTAATTTCTTCTAACCTAACTATACATCTTCCACCCTCACCATTCAATTTAAACTATCCTTTCTGAAGTTACCAATGAATTCTTGATGGTCAAATCCATTGACCTTCCCTCACCTTCCCTGGCCTTCCCTTCCCTTACCTTCATTGGCCTTCATTTCCCTGGCCTTCCCTTGCCTGCCCTTCCTTGGACTTCCCTTCCCTTATCTTCCCTTGCCTGGCCTTCCCTTCCTTGGCCT